GTGTGTGTGTGTGTGTGTGTGTCATGAGGGCTGAAAGAGTTTCCTCCCACGCAGGGTAAAATTAATTGCCGTCCCCTCCAGACACCAACACACAGATTAATCACCGCACACCTTCACAAACACCGTACTGCCGACACACACACATAAACACACACACACACACACACACACACACACACACACACACACCCCTCACAACCCAAGGTCTTTATCACACACAAGCACACGAGCATGAGGTGAGAAAGCAGCGATGGTTAACAGAGTGAGGGTCAACGCCAACAACAGCCTGAGAGCCTCTATCTGTCCTTCATCACACACCCTGAGAGACAATTACTGGAGAGAGTGAGAAAACCGGTCAGTAATTGATCTCAGAGAGACGGGCTGCTGATCTGGGGTGAATATTTGAGGAACAAACTGGAGCTCCAGAGAAATCCAGATGAGAAACTGTCCATCTAACGAAGTTATCTATAGACTAACAAGGAGAGACACATCCAACTGATATAATGATAGATAGATAGATAGATAGATAGATAGATAGATAGATAGATAGATAGATAGATAGATAGATAGATAGATAGATGGCCAATTACAAAAGATTTACACAATAGGGTCTTCAAAAGAACACACACTCATATCCCATCTGCCATTGCAGCTGCTATTTGTTGCATTATTTTTATGTGCATGGTGTGTGTATCTGAAATTCATTTTACTCCCTCTTTTTTAAACAAAACTACCAATACACTGGAGAGGTCTGAGTTAACAAAGTATTTTGTGGTAAATAAAAGCTGCATGTTTACCCAGAAGCCTCACTCATTTGCAGATGGAGTATGTATGTACTGTATATCTATGAGCACACATGTCGTTTCCCACAATCCCCTGCAGCTTCCCCTCATCACTCCAGCTTTATATCAGCCCTGACTGAAAAGAGCAGGTGTTTCTACTTGTTCAGGTTAAAACCATCCTCCCACACACTGTCCAAACCACCTATAAGACTTCAGAACTGAGATGAGACACATAGAGCGCAGAAAACTCCTCTCACAGACTCATCAGCGCTCACAAGCACAGCAGATGGGAACACTGTCTCCAAAAGACATCAACCTACCAACTACATCTGATGCCATCTCTATAAGCCCCACCCTCAGATTTACAGCAGTCACTGTAAGCCACTGTAAGCCTCACCCTCTAATTTACACCATTCCCTGTAAGCCCCACCTTCAGATATAAACCATTCATTGTAAGCCCCGCCTTCAGATATACACCATTCACTGTAAGCCCCGCCCTAAAATATACTCCAGTCACTGTAAGCCCCACCTTCAGATATACACCATTCATTGTAAGCCCCGCCTTCAGATATACACCATTCACTGTAAGCCCCGCCCTAAAATATACTCCAGTCACTGTAAGCCCCACCTTCAGATATACACCATTCATTGTAAGCCCCGCCTTCAGATATACACCATTCATTGTAAGCCCCGCCTTCAGATATACACCATTCATTGTAAGCCCCGCCTTCAGATATACACCATTCACTGTAAGCCCCACCTTCAGATATACACCATTCACTGTAAGCCCCACCTTCAGATATGCACCATTCACTGTAAGCCCCACCTTCAGATATTCACCCCCCATCTGTTAGCCCCACCCCTTCAGTCCCCAGGCATGGTTCTTACTATGTGAAGCTCCAGATAGTCTCCGAGACCCTTGGCGCTCTCCACTCGCACCAGAACGGCCTCCTTCAGCTGAGTGCTGAAGCCCACAGCCAGCCGGTCTGCCCGCGTGCTCGGCCGGTCGTTCGGGGGCCACGTGTACGTGATGAGGGCTCCTCCACGGCCGAAGATGTAGGTAGTCCCAGCTGAAACAAACAGACAGAGACACAAACACACAATCAGTGACAGAATGTTTCAGAGAGCATCATTCTAGCAGCCAAGACTGAAAGAGCAGCTGAAGGTCACTGCATCTCTGCTCAGGCGTCACACTCTCTGCTGTAATGAGGCACTGCCGAGCTTCCATCTGCTTTAATCGTGTGTGTGAACGGAGCCGCCGTGTTGACGCTCATGACTGATTGTGTTCAAGAGACTTTCCAAACGTTTGGCTCTGCGGGTCTGAGATCAAGTGACAATCAGCACCTGTGAACGGAGGCCTAATGGACCTTCATCAGAGCTGAAGCCTGACTTCATACGACTCGAGCTCTCCAGTGAGCCAACGAAGCACTGAAAATACATCTCTGACAAACAAACACGCTCCGTAGAGATCAAACGATTCCTCATGATGATAATTAAGAACAACTTTAATTAATACATGCTGTTGACAAAAAAGAAAAACGTAGATAGAGATTTTACTGTATTTTTGATCAAATAAATGCAGCCTTGGTGAGCAGTAGGGGTGTGAAAAAATATCGATATGGAAATATATCGTTGTCCTCCTCTGTGCGATACGAGAATCGATACGCTGGCACCAAATATTGATATTTTAATTAATAAAATAAGGCGCTCTAAATAGACTGCTCCCAGTGTCTTTACTTCATGGCTCCGCGAGGTGGCGCTCAACACATTAATGAGGGAAACGTGAACGTAAATGTTTTTAACGGGATGGTGGACAGCAGTGAGGAAAATAACAGACGCCCCAGCCACGTTTAAGTCCAAAGTCTGGATCCACCTCGGCTTTTATACCATTGATGGGACAAACAAAATCGAAAAAGAGTAGGCGATATGCAAGAACTGCCTGGTGAAAGCACACTCGCTGAGAAAGCGGCTAAAGCTAACGTTGCAAGTAGGGGTGTGCACTATCATGATTTTTGTTTGTGGACGATTAAAATGTCTCCACGATCTGCTTTTGAAGGAATATGGTAGTATCGCTACAGCAGAGTATCAGTTCTGGCGTCTCCGTCTCAATCTACTGAACAACGACACACACATTCACATCAGATGTTACTCAGCGGTAGAGTCACACTCACCGACACTGCACTTATTCACAATCACAACAACAGTACATTATTTCATCTACTTTAAAGTCTTTCGGTTAAACGTTTCATTCCCGTGCTGTTCTGACATGTGCTTTTTCTGAGTGAGTACACCTGAAGCACGCACCCTAAAAACCCTGTCAAACAGCGGCTGATTACTGGACTGAGTTATCTTTCTCGTCTTATTGCACTAATACCGTCAAAAACACACAAGATTAGTTATGTCTAAAGTGAAAGTAAACAGTTGAGAGAGAAATGGATGCACGCCTGTATATTAGACGAGTGCAGCTCTTAAAGTGACAGCAGCCTAATAGCACTAATGCTGCTGCTTGTCATTAAAGGGACAGTTCACCCAAAATTAAAATTCTTATTTACTCACTCTCATGTTGTCCCAAACCTGAATTAATTTCTTTCTTGTGCTAGATACAAAAGAAGATATTTTGAAGAATATTGGAAACCAAACAGTTTCTGGTCCCCATTGACTTTGATAGTAGAAAAAAACTACTACCAGCAACCAGCAACTGTTTGGTTCCCCACATCCTTCAAAATAATTTTTATATTCAACAGAAGAAAGAAACTCATTGAGGTTTAAAACAGCTTGAGAGAGAGTAAATGAAGACAGGTTTTCATTTTTGCAGATTTTTTGCAGGATTTTCAGCAGTTTGGTCTTGAGTAAAGAGAGAAAACATGCACTTAACCTTTTCACGGGCATTTTGTTTTCATAGACAGATATCGTGATGCATCATTATAGGATTGTCTAGCAATGTATTGATTATCACAGAATTGCACTATCGTGATATTATCGGTATCGTGAGCCATGCATCGTGTATCGTATCGTGAGGTACCCACCCCTAGGTGAGCAGAAATCATCAAAAACTGTGTAAAAATGAACACTGATTAACTATTTCTGCAGTTACGTTTACATTAATGCATTTGGCTGATGCTTTTATTCAAGGTGCATTGCATTGCATTAAAAGTGTACATTTATTTGATGAATTCATGCATTCCCTGGGAATCAAACCCATGACCGTGGTGTCACTGTTATCCAGTGTTACAGGAAAAGCAGCTACAGGACAGCAATTAACACACGTTCTGACCAGTAACCCGTCTAACACTGACCAATTCCTTCTGAAAATCAGAGCATGTGAAGATGAGAAGCGGTTGAGAATGACAGCGGGTTTAAGCGCTAATAGCTTAACCTGGAAGAATGAAAAGAACAAATGAAAAGGCAGAAATAAAACGAAGCGTCGCCAGCAGGATTTCTAAAGCGAGCAGCAGAACATCAGCCACGCCTCCACAATTACAGCCTGGCCGAGAAACGCTGTCACAGCCCAGCCGTTCAGAAACTAGCAACCGTTTCGCATTGATTGGGAGCCCAGACTCAATCGCTCCTCTAGCTTCCCTCGGGCTACAGCCGCTTCACACTCGTGCTGCTGGTTGTAGTATCTGGCAACCGACTAATTATCAGAGGAAAAAAACATCAGAAAAACACAAGAGCCTCATGGGAAACAGAGCGAGGAGGAGGAGAGAGGAAGGCAGGACTGAACTGTTTTAGAAGGAAAAACAAAAGCAGGATGAGAGCGAGACACAGTTTCCTTTCATCACGTCTCTGTTCATGAAGCGACGTCACACAAACCTGTTCTCAGAACGCAAAAACAAAGAGAGAGTGTAAAAATGGCTGCCGGGAACGGAGGGAAGACATGTCTCTCTCTCACTATCCCTCCAATCTCATTTCTTCTCCTCATGAAGCGAGCCGCAGCTTTATTGTGCTCAACTCATTCTCACTCTATCATGCACACACACACACACACACACACACCTCACTGAGAGTCGATCACATCAACTGACAGACAGACAGGCGTCTGAGTGAATGAACTCGTGTGTGTCTGTGAATGTCATGCTGTCAGTGAGATGCTCTGAGTGCTAAAATCACTGTATGCACGAACAAAACAGCTTTAAAAAGTTTATAATTGATAATTTGAGCTCAGGTTGTGTTCAGTAGCTCGACTCATCCTGGTTATTCTAGTTCAATGTAAACACACATTCCTGTAGAGAAGCAGATCTGCAATCACAGAGCAGAAGTCTTCATCCTCATCCTCATCCTCACAAACCTCAGTAATGTAGAGATCAGCTGACCTTCAGACCAATCAATTCAATAAATCACAACACATAAGCTGCCGTGAATAATCAACACACCTGCAGTGCATGCCGACTCGAACCCGACTAACCAATGGAAGAGTACAGACCAGAACATCACAGAGACTCTATCACACAAGACAGGAGGACAACGCCTAGCAACCAAACACAGCACCCTAGCAACCACTCAGAACACCCTAGCAACCACACACTGCACCCTAGCAACCACACACAACACCCTAGCAACCCCTCAGAACACCCTAGCCACCACACACAACACCTTAGCAACTGCACACAACACCCTAGCATCCACACACACCACCCTAGCAACCACACACATTACCCTAGCAACCACTCAGAACACCCTAGCCACCACACACAACACCTTAGCAACCACACACAGCACCCTAGCCACCACACTCAACACCCTAGCAACCACTCAGAACACCCTAGCAACCACACACTGCACCCTAGCAACCACACACAACACCCTAGCAACCACTCAGAACACCCTAGCATCCGCACACAGCACCCTAGCAACCACACACACCACCCTAGCAACTGCACAGCCTTGTCAGATTGTGATGTGACTGATGTGCTTGATTTGTTGTGCATCCAGTGATGAATTATAATGACTGCGGCTGATAATGAATGAGTGTATTGACTGTGTGTGTGTGTGTTTAATCAGTGGATGAGTCAGAGACACTAGAGACAGCTGTCAGGTGAATGTGTGCTTGATTCTAACACTCTTAATTGCTGTTATTACAGGTCTAAATAAAAAACAACAACAAACAAGCAGTCTGGAAACTAAGAAAATAATCGAAAGAACAAGTTCACTCTCTCTCACACACACACGCACACACACACACACACACACACTCACTCACGCACACACACACACACACTCACACTCACTCACGCACACACACACACACACTCACACTCACTCACGCACACACACACACACACTCACACTCACTCACGCACACACACACACACACTCACACTCACTCACGCACACACACACACACACTCACACTCACTCACGCACACACACACACACACTCACACTCACTCACGCACACACACACACACACTCACACTCACTCACGCACACACACACACACACTCACACTCACTCACGCACACACACACACACACTCACACACACACACAAACTCACTCACGCACACACACACAATCACACACACACACACACACTCACACACAATCACACACACACTGACACACACACACACATGCACACACACACACACAGTCACACGCACACACAGTCACACACACACACACCATTGGACCCCATTGACTTTCATTATATGAACAAAAAACACTGCAACATTTCTCAAAATACCTCAAAAACATCTATGTTCCACAGGTTTGAAAAACATGAGGGAGAGTAAATGATGACACAATGATCATCTGTGGCTGAACTGTCCCTTTAAATGTCATTTCAAATATCAAGACTTCATATGATTATCAATATCAAGCCAGAAAGCAGCAGCAACTGAAGTGAGGACATGTGAAGAGCTGAGATCCTGATCAATGAAGTGCTCTTCACGCTTCAGACACACGGCTCTGTGAGGAGCGCCGGCCACCGTAATCAAGCAGCAGGACCTGAGTGAGAGCAGGCCTTTCATCTGCGGGTGAAGAGCACTCGCGGGATCGATGAAGACGCAGCGCTGCTGTTTTGGGGGATTTGATCGATGCAGCGATGTCCAGCGGTGGGTCAATCGAGT